TGTGTGTGTGTGTGTGTGTGTGTGTGTGTGTGTGTGTGTGTACTGCAGGAATGCAGCCGGTCCTGTACTCAGTAAAAGAAGCCCTGGAAGGTAGACCACACTGGATCAGTACTGGAACGGAAATTTGTTATTTCAGGTATGAAAACATTTTACATATTTTTCATTAATTAGAGAGATGTTGGAAATCCAAGTGTTGGAGAGTAGCTTTAGCAGGCTGCTGAAGGCAGGTCAGACCTCGAAAAATTTAATTAGGGGCAAAAAGACACACAGGTTTGAAACTTGTGTAAATTAGTCATAGGTCAAGCACAGAACTGTGTGTGATTCTCCAATAGATACTTCAAATGAAGAAGTTCATTCATTAAAACCCCCCACTGAGACTAACTGTAACTGACAGCTGATTTCAGCTGTTCAAAACAGATGTTAGCAGTAGCAATTACCAGAGGCCTATCCATCCAAAGAGACAACCATTCACTCTCAATCTAGAAGCAGCAATTAACCTACCATGCATGTCTTTGGGAGCAAGCCAGAGTGCCCAGAGCAAAGATGCAATCTCTGCACAGAAAGGCCCAAGACTAGATTCAAACCCAGGATATTTTTGCTTTGACACAGCAGTCCCAATCGCTGCACCATTGTATAGTTTTACTTGGAAGCAGCAGTATGTGCAAAATACATTCCTCACATTTATCTTGTCATGTTAAAAATCCAAAATAAGGCCACATGTTTTATTTAAACACAGAAGAATTTCTCTCATACCCCCATCTCTGTTTTACCAGCTTCAGGCACACTGACCTCACTAGAAAAACAGTCAATAGCACCATCTGGTGGACTGGGGAAAAAACCTCCCAAAACATTATATTTTTGTACGTGTGCTATAATACTACCTACTGTTCGACTATGTTGTATCAGTTCCCCTGATTTAGATAGTCTACATATAACAAAACATTTTTTTTCTCAATTTTCTCCAACAGAAACAACTTTTGTCCAGCACAGGGCAGAAGGAGAACTACCTTTTACACCCTGACCTTTACCATCACCTTCAAACACAGTGAGGATGTCTGCTACCTGGCCTACCATTATCCCTACACATATTCTGCTCTGATGGTATTTTTTTTCATATAATAATCCCGTTTATTTACTTTGGTCAGAGTTTAAACTTAATGTTTTTGTAGAATGTTTATAACCCTATCACAAATAAATCTGTGAAGCTGTGTAAAAGTGTAAACAAACTATGATGAGTTTCAAATCATACAAGTCTCAGTTAAATAATACAGTATAATTCACACTTCTATGTACTAGCATATGTAAAAGTGTGACATATATAGTGTGAAAAATCAAGAATCCAATTAAGTTCATGAACATTAAATCATAAAAGTGACATGTTATAGTCACAAAGAAATACTTCAACACCTTTTTTTGTTTGTTTGATTTTGATGATTATAGCATATTACCCACATCACTCAAAGCCTGAATATCTATAAAGTCTGTCAGCTGATGGACTCTTGTAGTGCCTTAAGATCTCCTATAATGACTTGATAAAACAGAGGACCAAAACCAGCCGATGACATGGCACCTTATATCACCTTAAACTGCAGAAATTTCACACTGGACTTCAAACGTTTTGGATCCTGTGTCTGTCCGTGCTTCCTCCAGACTCTAGGACCTTGATTTTCTAAATGAAATGCAAGTTTTACTTTCATCTGAAAAGACAACAGTTGAGTTCTTTCTCTGGCTCAAGAGTTTCTTGATATTGTGACATCTGCTGTCCCTGTCGAGAACATTTCTGTTCATGGTGGTCTTGATACTCTGACACCAGCTTCAGTCCACTTCTCGGGAAGCTTGTTAATAGACAGTTCAAGGCTGCAGTCATCCCTGTTGCTTGTGCATCCTTTCGAGGCACACTTTCCCCCTCCACTCAACCTTTGGCCGATAAGCTGCCAGTCTTTTCAATAGTAGCTCACCTTTCTTGTGGAATTTGTTGATAATTGTTATCTGGACTGTATGTATCTCACTCTAATCTTTGTGTACAGATATCGATACACATGTTGGGAAAAGCTGCATCAAGCCACGCAGATGACACAGTTAAATAATTTCAAATGTGAATCCATCTCTGTTATTTTAACAGCGACCATAAGCCCCATAACTATAACCTGAACATATTTTATAATATTTTATATTACAAAGACAGATGAGATGGTTACTAAGAACTCTTTTATTACCAGAAAAATCTTTATTTTTTGTTTTCTTTATATTTTAGATCATGCGCTGCCATCTGAGATGTCACAAGCAGGCTAAGTCAATATAAAATCTCTTCTTTCAGCTGCTCCCTTTAGGGGTCACCACAGCAGATCATCTGCCCCCATCTCATCCTATCATAGTATCCTCCTCTGCCAGACCAACCCCCTGCATATTCTTCACTACATCCATGAATCTTTCAGTTTGGCAGCTCCATTTTCAGCATCTTTTATCCAGTATATATATTTACTAGTTCTCCTCTGCACATGTCCTGATCATCTCAGCCTTTACTCTCTAACTTTGTCTCCACCTGAGCTGTCCCTCTGATGTAATCATTTCAAATCCTATATCTTCTTGTCATTCCCAATGAAAGTCTTAACAGCTTCAGCTCTGCCTCTCTGTACATCATAGCAGGTCTCACTACCTTCTTGTAAATCTTGCCTTTCTCTCTTGCTGCTGCTTCTTTCACAAATTACCTCCGATACTCATTTCCACTTACTCCACCCTGCCTTGACTCCCTTCTTCACCTCTCATGTACTGTCCGGTACTTTGGATGATTGACCTCATTTAAATTATTCGGCGTTCACTACCTCAGCTCAGCTCCCTCTTATTCACACACATGCATTCGGTCTTCTGGCTTCTAATGTCTTTCATTCGTTCTCTCTCCAGTACATACCTCCACCTCTCCAGGTTCTCCATATGCTCCTTATAGATCCCATGTCATCTGCAAACATCAGAGTCCACTCCTGCCTGATTTCACAAGTCAACCTGTCCATCATGACAGAAAACGAGAAGGGGCTCAGACCAGATCCCTGACCAAATCCCACCCCCAACAGCTTTATCCCCTGTAGTTACTACAGTTCTGCACCACACTCTTGTTCTGGAAAAACTGATCAATATGAAGCAGAAAATGTAATTTTATAGGTTCTATGTGAAGTTGGTTTATAAAGACTATTTTGTCTCAGACGACAAACATGAATTTTGAGTTTTTTAAGCTATGAGCAGTTCAGACGTGCAATCACTGTTTTTATGTGCACCCTTGTTCACCCTCATTTGCATCCCCTCCTATGTCATCTTGTTATTCAGGCTATGGTAAATCAGCTTTTTTATATTTAAACCTTTTTTAAAAAACTTTGTCTGCATTTGGGTCTTCCCTACCACAACTGAATTACTATTTTAGCTCTATTCTCTAAACCTCTGGGGGAAAATGTAACTCAATAAATAAGTACAATGTCTAAGTCTAATGTAAAAACAATGCAGTATAGATTTTGTACATCTTTTTATACATCATTTTCTTAAATGGCTGGCTGTGGAGTGCTTACTCTTTCTGTTGCTTTTCAACATACTGCACAACTTGCTCTGTGTTTTTCCCTCCACAGCTGCTATATAGTGAGGAAGGTTAATCACCAGATGCATGTCAGGTGTGTCATCCTCCCTAGCTGGCACCACACCTTTCCCTCCTGCAGTCACACCCCACTGGCACATAACTCCCACAGCCTGACTTTGGCTGGGAACCATCAAACCACCATCACCAGCAAATCTTCACATACCCTACCGAAAGTGGGAAGTTTTTCTCTCAAGTCCATAAGATACTGAATTGGATATTTACTAGGACTTGGCACTTTCTCCTAGTTTTCTTTAAGTAGGTCAAAAATCCTGAACTGTAGTTCAAAGGGAGAAAATCCTGTCAAGGACCGGGGCACCCAATACAGGATCAAACCACTGGTCGCAACTGGTTTTAATGTCACTAATGAAATTTGCAATACTGTATTTTAATCCTCTTCAAACCCTCAACCTGATCATCAATCTGTGGAGGAAACAAATGTGAAACATTAAATACAGTTCTTTCACCAGGCATGATATGAATGACATGCCCTGAGCCATCAAAACTGATGCAGGATATGACCAACTTGAGCTGCTGTGTTTGGAGGGAACAAAATGCAGACCCAAAGAACACAATCCCCACAGTCAATCATGGTGGAAATATTATGCTTTGGAATAGTTTTTCTGCTAAGGGTCCAAGGTCATGTATCATAAAAGTGTAGACGAGAACCTCCTTTCCTTCAGCCAGAACACTGAAGAGGAGTTGTGGATGGGTCTTTCAGCATGACATGAACCAAAACATATCACCAATCAAATATCCAATAATTATTTTCCCCCACTGTACAAAATTAGCTGTAATTCTTAAGTAGTTAAGGTAATACTCTTGTTAAACCCTTTGAATTAAATTTGAAAGTCTGAATTTCAAAAACATCTTGATTGTTTGACTTCAGCTCCGCTCTGGTGGTGTACAGAGGCAGAATTACAAGAGAAATATATCTGTTTTATAAATAATTAGAGACCTAAGTATATATTTGTTATTTTTGTCAGGCTCACTTGAAAATACTGCAGAAATCAGTGGATCCGGCCAAGGTGTTTTTCAAGCAGCAGACTCTTTGTAGCACTTTGGCTGGAAACTCCTGTCCAATAGTTACCATCACTGCCTGTCCAGTCAGCAGAAGGTGGAAAGACCTGCACCAGATGCGTAAGTAGTGCTTTGTAGTCCAGGAACTACTCATGTCAGGGGTACTTACGTGTTTACACAGCCACATTGGAATGGTAGAGAGACTGGTACTTATGAAGGACCTTTCTATTCAATTTGAGCACTCAAATAACTTTGTGTCATTCACACAGTCACACATTCATAACAGATTCTTCAATTTCATGGTGAACACATGAAATTGTCAACCTCACTCACTAACCCTATATGCGTGGAGAAATGTTTACATTTTTTCACATATAATTATCACTAGAAAATATTGTTATTTTCAGTTGTTAGACTCAGACTCTAAGATGCATATGTATACTGTCATGTTTCTCTACATGAGAACATATTGGAGCAGCTTTGGGCCCTCTGTGCAGAGTTTGAACATTCTCCCTGTATCTGTCTGGGTTCTCTCCAGGTACTCCGCCTTCCTCCCAAAAACATGCAGTTAGTGGATTAATTGGTGACTCTAAATTGCCCATAGATGTGCAGAGTAGGCATTCTAACTTTTTACAGAAGAGAGTCATTGCCTCAGACTTATAAGTGATAATTCTCATTACTACTGCTTCATACTTTGCTGCAAACTGCTCCAGTGGAGGTCACCTACTGATGAAGCCAGAAGAATCACCAAATGTCTTCTTCAATTAAATTTTATTTATGTAGCGCCAAACCACAACAGTCACTTCAAGGCACTTTATCTTGTAAAGATCCTAGAATAGTACAGAGAAAGCACAAACAGTCAGACTAACTCCTATGAAAAAGCACTATGGCAACAGTGTGAAAGGAAAAATCTGTTTAAACAGTGAGAAACCTCCAGCAGAACCAGGCTCAGGAAGGGGCAGTCATCTGTCACGACCAGTTGGGAGTGAAGGGAGATGGACAGGACAAATAAAAGAAAGAAAAAGCACTGTAAAAGAGAGCCAGAGATTAATTAATCATTAAATGCAGAGTTATGTATGAAGACATGGGGAGTAAAAAGAGGTGAGTAAAGAAGAAACACTCTTACTGCAGTGTAACTAAGGGAGAATTCACACTCACCTGATCTAGACTGAACTGTAACCAAAGGAAGGTTTTAAGCCTAGTCTTGAAAGTAGAGAGGGTGTCTGAATCCCAACTGGGAGCTGATTACATAAAAAGCTCAAGGCTCTGCCTCCCATTCTGCTTTGAAAGACCTTAGGAATCACATATTCCTAGGGTATTGTATCATCCAGGTCTTTATGTCTTTAAGGCATTTCTGCAGTTTAATTGATGTGTCTCATCTGGCTTCATGAATAGACAAAGCTACACTACTAGCCAAAAGTTTGGACACACATTCTCAATTAATGTTTTTTCTTTATTTTACTACTTTCTACATTGTAGATACAAACTGAAGGCATCAAATATATGAAGCAAGATATATGGAATTATGTAGCAAACAAAAAAGGATAAATAGCTCTAAATATGATAAGTTAGATTCCTCAAAGTATCCACCCTTTGCCTTGTTGACAGAGCTGCACACCCTTCTCTTCTCTCAATGAGCTCCATGATGTAGTCACCAGGTGTGTCTTGTCAGGGTTCATTTGTGGAATTTTCTTGACTTCTTAATGGGGTTGGCTCCATCAGTTGTGTTGTGCAGAAGTCAGGTTGGTACACAGCTGACAGCCCTATTTGACAACTGCTAGAATTCATATTATGGCATGAACCAGTCAGCTAAGTAAAGAGAAACAACAGTCCATCATTACTTTAAGAACTGACGGTCAGTCAGTCTGGAAAACTGCTAAGAAACTGCTACTATGGAAACGAAACAAGCAGAAGAGATTTGTTTGGGCCAAGAAACACAAGAAATGGGCATCAGACCAGTGGGAATCTGTGCTTTGGTCTGATGAGTCCACATTTGAGATCTTTTGGTTCCATTGGCAGTGTGATGCAAAAAAAGTGAACAGATGGTCTCTACATTCATGGTTCCCCACTGTGAATCATGGAAGAGGAGGATGTGTGATGGTGTGGCAGAACCACAGCATCCTGCAGCGACTCAGGACAGTGACCCCAACACGCACCTCCAGGCTGTGTAAGAGCCTTTTGAAGAAGAAGGAGAGTGATGGAGCGCTGCACCAGATCGCCTGGCTTCCACAGACCTAAACACAATTGTGATGGTTCAGCACAGTACTTCTAATTCCCCTGGCTTCTGACCTTCTTTTCACTCTAAAAGCAAACATTGCATCTGTAGTGCCATAATGCTCCTCACTAATTGTCACCTCTTTTTAGCTTAGCTTCAACAAGTCTTTGCCATATCTTTATGGCATAGCTCATTTTTTGTAGTCAATGCAGCTCACATCATCGTTGTTCTAGCATTCTTGGTGGTGCACAGGTTGGTCAGTCTGGTGTTGCAGTCTCAGGCGACTGCTCTATCTGCTGGTAGCTGGTGTTTTGCCCCTATGGTATTCCTGCCGATTCCTTGGCACATACGACCCATATCCACAATGAGTGACAGGTTAACTTAAGAAAGCACCAGCAATAAGAAAAATGCTCCAAAAGCACACAAAACACAACGGAAATAGAAAAATTGAAAACGGAAATAGGAAAGAAAAGATGTGAGGTAAGAAAAGATGAGAGGTAAGTGTGTTAGCTTAACTATTAGCCTAAAAAAATCCGTCATCAGTATTATATGAATCATGAGATTAAAACACACTTACCGAGCATGTTTTGGTTCCTGCAACTGGTCCGTCGGGTTATTGTCTCCCCAGTCACTTCCCTTGTGCTTTTGGAAATCTGTTTTTTCCTATTTCCATTTTCGTTTTTCCTATTTCTGTTGTGTTTTGTGTGCTTTTGCAGCATTTTTCTTATTGCTGGTGTTTTCTTAAGTTGCAGTCAGTTTGGCCTCTCAGGGCCACCGTATAAATTGGATCAAAACACTATACAGCTCTCCAAATGTGTCTGTCAGGACAAATGATCTTAAGATGATCTAAGATAAGCCTATATGCTGATGATACATTACTTTCCTTGGGAACACAAACCTCTCTTCTGAAGACAATCAGACTCACTGCTAAAATCCCATTCATATCAGACTACTCTGCTAACTGGAGTAAATTGACATTTCTGCCCCTAAATTGTAAATTTGTAAATTTCAGAACACCTCCACCACTACACTACAGTTGGGTAACATTAATTATCTTCATGAATAAAAAAAACCTGTTTGTATTACTCAATGTAGAAATGTACTTCTAGATCACATTAGTTTGTAGAAAATGCATGCCTCTTTAAAAATTTAATTGGATGAATTTATTTCTCTCTGATCTCTCTGATCAATTCCAGTGCTTAGTTGGCGTTGGTCGACTGTAGTCACATCTCCCTGTGTGTCTTGCACGTGGCTGGTGGTGGACACGGGGTCAGTGGAAGTCTGACAGTCTCCTGCGGGGTTCGGTTGGTGTTTTGGGGCATTGGTGTGTCTGCCTTGATTGCTGGTGAAGGTGGGTGGCTGGGGTGGGTGCAGGTGCTGTCTTGCAGTCTTGAGATGTGGAGAAGGTCCAGGTCTGGGGACTGGGGCCCTAGTTCCCAGGAATGCCCATTCTGGTTGGTTCCTGGTTGTTCCACCATATGGGGTGGGTTGGCCCACATCTAGATGTCCAGTCCAGGTGGACTAGCCTTTGTGGTGGTGATGATGGGTGCTGGCTTATGGTGCGGCATTGCCCTGGGTTGCAGTTGACACAGGTCTGCTCTTCATCACTCTGTAGCATGATGTAGCATAGGCCACAGTTGGTAGGGCCATTGATGTGGCTTTGCTGAGTGTGCTGTGCTGCCATCCGCTGTCTCATGTCACATATCCTCCCTCAATTTTAATAACATCTGTGAGCTGTCAGCTTTCAGCCCTGATGGTGTGTCCGTGCCATTGGGTGAGAAAGCTGACACCTCACTGATCCTGATGCGGCGGGTCAGCGCTTTGTGTTTATGTCTTTGTGCAGAATCCGTGTACCTGCTCTCATTTACTGTTTTAGCTGTTTGGTGGTTGTCGAAATTTTGTGAGGTTTAACCTGAGATTCTGGTATTTCGGGCAAAACACATTTATATTTAAAAAGCGATTCAGGATTTTAATGAATCGATATCGCGTAATTCAAGCTAGAATCGATTTTAATCGGAAAATCAATAATCAAAACCCACCCCTACCACTACTCCATTTCTCTTCCTGTCTTCCAACCAACAGTTGGACTCCACCTTCACTCCATCATATCAGCCACCTTTCTCACTTTACCAGTTATAGCCCGTACTCTCACCTCCAGACTCCAGCACCAGTTGTACTGTTTAGTTCACAGATCTGTTTGCTTGCTCTTTGTAGATCTTTCACATTAAAGTCACAGACACTCAGCTTGTTAACTGTATGTTAATTACGACTGTTCCACAGCAGTTGTAATCGGCTTCTGGGTCTCACCATCTTTGACTAAAGCTAAAGATTTTGTTAAACTAAAAATCTGATCTGGATAACTATGTTATCCTGATAGACATTATTAGTTGGTTTTAGATGTGAGCCATTAACATGCCTTGTTACATAGCATTTTTCTAATCTGCTTTAATACGTTGTACTTTATAAAAATGCTTGAAACGAGACCCAGTAAGTGGTTACAGAAAGAGGGTGATAGATTGCCAGAAGCAGAAAGAACAAGACAATGCTAGTGGCCAGACCTCATACAGGCTACACCCAGGGGAAGATGCTTGATGTCTAGAAACTAACTTCCTTGTTCAATATGTTATATCATTAGGCAAACTGATGATTGTGTAATAATAATTTTCCTAGGTAATCGCCCCTATATTGTACTGACCAGCCGTGTGCATCCTGGTGAGTCCAATGCCAGCTGGGTGATGAAGGGCACTTTGGAGTTTCTGTGCAGCAATGACCTGGTGGCCCAGAGTCTCAGGGAGGCCTTCGTCTTTAAGGTCATCCCCATGCTCAACCCAGATGGAGTCATCAATGGCACGTGAGTGAGGAGCAGGAACATTGTTGGAATGGTTAAAAAAATTATATAATATACACTTTTACTTTACTTGAAACATGTAAGGAAACAATGCCCTTGGCTGCACTTACACTAGGCTTCTTAATAATGAAATGCTGCAGGTAGCATATGCTAATGTAACTACAATACAATATTACAATAACATTCACTGTTGATATAATTTTTGTCATTTTTGTGCTTTATGAGTTATTGACAGTTTGAACATTCTCATAATTTTACCTCTGAAATCCACTGTGGTGGTGTACAAACAGTTCTGATGCAATTGAAAAGCACACACTTTCAGCTTTAATTGAAAGGATTTAAGAAAAATATGGCATTAACTGTTCAAGAAATATATCAAGTTCTATACAAAAACTTTAATTTTCAGAGACGCAAAACACATTTCAAAATGAGGACCAAAGAAATGAAGCAAGGAGTGAAGGAGGTAAAAAAAAAAAAAATCTATCAGAAATAATAACGTCTTTACTTAACCTTTACTTAACCAAATCACAGTCAGGCTACGAAGTCTGCAATCAAGGGATGCATTTATGAAAGTAAATACGAAAAAAACAAAACAAAACAGAACCCCAGATGAACTTGTGCCAGAAAGTAAGGAGGAGGAGAGAAACAGTTAATAATCTAAAACATCACATCATCTGTCAAACATGGTGGAAGCAATGTTATGGGATGGGTATGTATGGCCGCCAGTCAGCCTCGGCACTGGTGTTCATTGACTGCTGATAGAAGCAGCAGGATGAAGAGTCTACAGGACTGCACTCTGCTCACATTCAGACGAATGCTGCAACACTGATGGGACAAAGCTTCACAGTGCAGATGAATAATGATCCAAAGCAAACTGCAAAGTAACCCAACAGTTTCCTGAGTTTCCCAAGAAGCCTGGCAGAGCGTCTTGATCATACAGATATACGGTTTTGCTGAACCAGAAAGACTGTCATTAGAACATTTTGTCACGGTTCAGTGAAAAAAATACTTGAAACGAGACCCAGGAAGTGGTTACAGGAAGAGGGTGATAGATTGTCTGAAGCAGTCAGAACAAGAAAATACTACTGACTCATACCACAGGCTATACCCAAGGGAAGACACGCCAAGTCTGTATGGTTTACTAAAGATACATAAACAGGGTGTACCTTTAAGACTAATTGTCTTAAAGGTACACCCTTTAAGTTTCAGACTTATTTCTGAATTCCAAAAAGACTGTTTTCCAGATATTGCAAACGCTTGATTGCAGTTGTTGCTTCCAAGGGCGGCCCAACCAGCTATTACATTTAGGGGCAATCACTTTTTACATGGGGCCATGAAGATATCTCACCCCTCCCCAATCATAAACATCTTCATTTAGAAACTTCATTTTGTGTTTACTTGTGTTATCTTTGTCTAATATTTAAATGAGTTAAAAATAGGAAATCAGGAAAGGGGCAAACACTTTTTCAAACAACTCTAGATAAACTCAATTATAGCACTTCATAACATCCATCTCTCTCTGTCCCACCTCTCAACAACAAACAGTACTTTGCTACTGAAGGACACTATTATTCAGCCAAACAACAAGTAATGTTACAGTATTTGGTATATATCACAGATTTACCCCTCACAAATGAATTACAGTGCAAGTATTTGGTTTTTTTTGTTGTCTGTCTCCTCAGAAATCGCTGTGACCTGAACAGCAAAGATCTGAATCGTCAGTGGAGTAAACCAGACCCTCTTCTGAGTCCAACCATCTACCACACCAAAGGCTTTCTCTACTACCTCAACATTATAGGACGGACTCCAGTGGTGAGATACACATGCTGTTATGTAATGTTTTCTTTTTGAAATGTTAAGCTCTTTGGTTTTGCTAAATATCTGTCCTGCATGTTTGACACACTTTCACACATTAGTTAATCTACATACATTAGATCCAAAAATTATTCACAGCTTTATTAAAAATTCTAATCAAAAATGCGTTGTAAAATGTACCATACAAAAAAAAGATGTGCGTAAGTATTCGCAGCCTTTCAGTTCTTGTCTTGGAAATTCTGAATTTGTCGTTTAAGTATTAGGCTGTAATATCTAAACAGTGAACACTTCAGTTGAACCCGTTAAATTAAAACCACAAGTCTGTACTTTAATCACACATTAATTGTTTGATTTAAAATGCACTGTTTGGTTTCATAGGCAAAATCACAAATCAAAATATTTTATTGTCCAAATGCACAAGCTCTTTCTTTCTTCATATTTACTAGGTTTTCTGTGACTACCATGGCCACTCTCGAAAAAAGAATGTGTTCCTGTATGGCTGCAGCATTAAGGAGACTCTCTGGCAGTCTGGCTCTGCAGTTGACACTGTAGGATTGAAAGAGGATCCTGGATATAGGGTAAGAAAAGCACACACACAAAGCCAAGCAGGCCATAGGGGTTTCTGTTTTTGTTCTACTCGTTCACCAGCAGCAGTATTTCAAATTCTGAAACCAGATAAAATGTTTTGTTCCTCTCCATCTCTCTCTCTCACTGTCTTTATCATTCTCATCGCCTTTCTAGACCATTCCAAAGACCTTGGATCGTATCGCGCCGACCTTTTCTTTCAACAGCTGCAACTTTTTGGTAAAAGTTACAATACTAATAATAATTCTCATTTTGAAAATCACTGCATATAATAAATCCACAGCGTAGTTGTCAGTACAACTAAATACAACTACTAATTAATTCATATTGTTATCCTTCTCAGTATTGTAAGCAAAGTTGTCCTTGTTGTCACTGTTAACTTCTTTATTATTAACACTGTCAGTTGTATAAAATAAATATCTCTGCCTGGAACAGCAGGTTAAATAAAGCATTATCTCAGCCATCTTCATGTATCATACCTCATCAACACCACTATCACTGTTATTGTCATGTAGTGTTTATATTTGTTAATGTGTGAATAGTTACATTCATTATTTTTCTTATTATATGGGCCATATTCTCTTACCTACCCTTAATTCTGATTTTAACCTGTCAGGTAGAGAAGTCTCGCTCTGCTACAGCCAGAGTGGTTGTCTGGAGGGAAATGGGAGTTCTGAGAAGTTATACTTTGGAGAATACTTACAATGGCTGCAACCAGGGAATATACAAGGTGTGTGTGTGAGAGAGAGATTGGGTGAATTAGGGTACTCTAATAGAATTACTTAATGCTACTGTGCACTTTGGCACTTTTTACCATTCATTTTGTGCCATGTGTACAGGGAGTAACTATGTGACCAGTTTAAAGCAGTTTTATACCTGTAGCTCTGTAGAGCTCCAGAGTGGCAGGGCTGGTGTTGATAAGGAGATCCTGACCATGCTGTGCCAGTAATACCTCAGTGGGTAAAGTGTTTCGCTGTCAGCCTGCACAGAATACTTTGTGTCTCTGCTCAACTTGCCTGATTTATTAGACCAGACATGGTCAGAACTGCCAGCCCCTCTTTTTTATTGTCACACCACCAAACACCATCTTCTCTACATGACAAATGTTGAACAAGGGTGGTTAGCAGAAGGAAAATCTGTTGCAATGCTGAATCACTGAATCTCATCTACTTGCTAATGTGTATTTCTCTATAAAGCCCAGGTCGTAACAGATCTCAGAGCAGCCAAAGATAACCCGTGGCACTTTCCTTCGGACGCTGCTTTCCTCTCAGTTTACCAACACAGACCAGGGGTTTATTCACAATGCGTCTGTGCAAACCACTAGAAACAAGCTGCTGATCTCTCAGCTTGCCCAGCTCCAGTAATTGTTAAGGGGTAATGGACACACCCTCAGAGAGAGAGAGAGAACTAGACTTATGAGATTGAAATATGTTTTCAGGGACAATAGCTGACTGCGGCCGCAAGATAGCAATAATGTAAAGGCTGGATGCACATATTAATTGACAGGTCTTTATGGGAGCACTGTCATTGGTTCACACTTGTATGCAACTTTGTTTTGTTCTTGATGTTTTTGTTTTTTGGAGCACAAGTTCCTTTTGAGCTGGACAAAACAGAATGTAATGATATGCAAATTTCATAAATATGGTCATTTCCCAAAGATTGAGATGTTTAGCATGTTTACCACCGGGTAGCATGATGTCTTCTTTTAACAACAGGCCATAAAAGTCTATAAACTGGGGAGAGCAGCTGCTGGACTTTTGGATGCCTCATTCTTGTCTGAGAGATGATTTTTTTTTTTTTTTATTATATGATGCTTCAAATATTTTCAAATGGATAAAGCCAGTCTGGACTGCAGGCAGGCTAGTCCAGGTCATCTGCTGTTAGTGAGCAATGCTGTTGTCACAGTATGAGGTTTAACATTGTCTTGCTGAGTCATGCAAGGACTTCCCCGAAAAAGCATCTGTTGCTAATCTTCTGGAGCCTTTCCAGATATGCAAGTTGTACAATTCTCTTAAACTATTTGGTGATTAGACTCAAATGACCCATCATAGCAGAACAGAATCCCACCAGTGATGGGACAGCACCCACCCCACACATCCACAGAAGAGCACTGAGATATAAAAAATGTGCGTAGACGAAGCTGATTTTCTTGGAAAAGGTGGGCAAAACATGACTGGGCTAGAGCAGTGATGTAAGAATTGAGTTTGGCAGCATGATAAAAAAAATGTAAAGTAAAGAATAGCTAGTAGCTGCAAACCCAGGATAGCAGGGAGATGAGTGATTACAGATCTTCCTTATTGAATTTTTGCACAAGCTTTGCTTCAGAGAATCTTTGCCTGAATAAGATGCTCTTTTCATGCCCTATTATGTTACTGACATCTTGTCAGTTGTTCCAATTTGATGTAAACTGTTCCTTCTGCTGTGCCTCAAAAGGGCACTTTTGAGTCATGTTGGTCCATCAAATTAAAAAAAAAAAGATTAGTATTTTTAATTAAATAGTAAAATGTCTCAGTTTAAGCATTTACGATATTCTCTATGCTCTATTGTGAATAAAATATGCTTTTATGAGATTTGCAGATCTCTTTTTGTTTTCATTTGACACAGCATTGTAGCTTTTATTTGGATTGGGTTTGTAAAAAATCCAGTAGCGTGTTCCTAACAAATGTCTCTCATTGGGCAGTGTGCACAAATTTTCAGGATGTATAATATACTTAACTTGGCTCAGGAGGGGAGCGTGTCTGTGTGTGTGCCTGTGTGTTGTTACAGGGGCTGCAGACAGGAACCCAGGAGCACCAGGAAATGGGGATGAAGTTCTGCCACAGTCTGTTGTCTGTAACCAAAGACACAAGGATTCTATACAGCAGGAAACTCATCAACCATATTGACCTGGACCACAACATGCTGGACCACAAGTCTCACAAGTAAGCTACCGTTCTAGTGCGGCTGTGGGTTTTCCATGTGGCAGCAGGGAGGACAGTGCTTAAACCAGGGCAGTTCGAGTGGAATTCAGGTATTTATGGGAAGAGGTGATGAACTCTTTCCCAGTTAAATTTACCCTTCATTCTAATTTGTGTTGTACGGTTATTTCATTTTTAACTTAAATTTTTATATTTCATTTTATTCCTTCCTAGTTAAATTTACCCTTTTTAATTTTCATATTTATTTCCTATCTTATTCATAGCCTTTTCTTTTTTTTCTTTAGGTCACGAGCAGTTGTCTAAGCATTTCACTGCATATCGTACTGTGTATGACTGTGTACGTGACAAATAAAAATTTGAATTTTGAATTTGAATTTGAACAGCTGCTGATGCAAAACACACCTGATGCCACTGCTGCAAGCAAGCAAGCTGTGTGTTTACACAGTGTGTTTTATGTAAAACTTACTTTGTTGTTTTTGGTGAACAAGACTTAACATGGCAATTCTTTCTTCTTTCATGCAGCTGTTTTGAAGACGATGAGCCTCCGTGTGCTGAGGAGATCGAGTACTCTGGTTGCTGTCCCACACGTAAAGGCAGTGATTTGGATTCAGACATTGACAGCAACATGGCCCATGTTGATGATGATGATGACAAAGAGCACAGTGCTCAAAAACATCAGCAAGACAGCATCAGTCAGTCTCAGCAGTCAAGCATAAAGAACCACCTGTTTCCTCCACAAACCCGGCAGCCATCCGTTGATACACCTAGTGAGAGAAGAGACTTGCGTAATGGTTTGAGGATTGCAAAATGATAAATCACAAGTTAAAAGGGTTTTTTTTTTATAATTTACTTTCTTAACGATAGTAAGAGAGCATCAGCTAATATGAGCTGTAGTCCTTTAAACACAGCAGACTGTTCTGGATGAAAATAAATACTTGGGTTTGTAATTCAAAACCAGCTTAACTAGAATGTATTACTAAAGACTGAAAATACCAGGCATGTGATCAATACTTCATAACAGACTTTAACATAAACATGTATAGCCAAGTACAGCCATGACTTAAAGACTGGCTGTTTTACTTAGACCTAAATTTTCAGGAAAGGAATCTCATAACTCCACCAGTTATGAGATGAAATGACAATAGTTTCAATGAATGATGGATTAAAACCAGTTCTTATTGAATATTTATGTATGTAAAAGGTCATCAGCATAGTCTTAATGATACTGATAACATCACCAGTGAACAAAAATGCATGCTATAACGAATGAAAAATGCAACTATAACAGTGATCTGCATTTTGTCTGTCTTTGTCATTGGGTGAAAATAATTTCGTGTTAGCCCTTTTAGTTAATATCTACAACATCAGTTTAGTGTTCCAGCATCTTATTGTGACTGGCTTTTTTCTGTCTGTACTACTGCAGGCACTACTTTGATTATTAGTAGGTAATTAGCAAACTGAAACAAACTTGATTGTTGCTGTGTAAAACTTTTAAATCAACTTAGTTGTATTAATTACATGAAATACTGGGGACTGGTACTTATCTTTCCTCTTCTGTATCTTTGCAGAAAGAACAAAAACAAAAACAGGTGAATAGGTTTAACCTGCTTGGAGGAAAGAATTCGGCATGTTTCCCAAAATGTTCTCACCAAAATGTCAAGTTCAAATGTTATGCTGTATGTTATAGACTTAAAATGTGTAAACTGTAAGGCAAGGGGTGGTATTTGGCTTCTGAGTAAATATCAGCGATTTACTTTACAATTAATATCCTGCCAAGAACACATCCTGTACACAACTCCATGTTTTATCTTTTCAAGTTTCATTACAAACAAATCTCATAAAAGGTCAAAGAAACTCTGATGACTGATGTTCCATTTATTCAGAAGAACATTAATATTGACTGTAATATTATCACAGAACTGCAACTACGCTGCCTTTACAGCAGTTGTAGTTTGTTTTGTAATCCACAAAGGCACAATACTGCTCTCAAGCGTCATGTATGAAATTATAAATGTTAACATTTTCCAGAAAGAATTTTTTTCCCCAACATTTTTTGCTTAAACAAGCCTATGCTGATGGAATCTAAAATTTCTGAAAGTACATGAGTTTTTTTTTACCCAGTAGGTTAGCCTTTTAGCCTAAATTTGTGCAAGTGTACGATAAATGATATAGTTTATACATTTATACAGTTTGGGGATTCCATGGATGGAGGATCCGAACACAGAGCACACAAGGAACACAATAAAGCCCCAAATCCAAATCTTAAATCCAAAAGTAGACATCCAAGTAAAAGCAAACAAGCAAATAACTTCAGCAAAGCTAGGGAAGGCAAAATCTAAAAATACTCCAAAGATTATAGATGAGAAGCTTGGAAGTCAGAACAAGGTAAAATAGAAAGAACATACAAGGTCTCTTTGTTTACATTGTACTGTATATACTGTACATGTTGTACTGCTGTGAGTACTCCTGCTATTTTTAACTCTTTTAACTCCATTTTGACTGCCTCCAGTCATTTTGCACCTTTAAATCACACTGGATCTTTTCCACTTTGACGAAACAATTTGAACTTTAGAATTTTATTGTGAAAAGAGGATCACCCGCAGGAAGTCAAATCAGTTGATATCCATCCATTTGAGCTCAAGTTTGAAATTGCTGATGCAAAATACAAGTGGTCAAAACTGCGCTTGCAGGAGATGAATAAGCAGCAATGCCAGAAGTGGTCAAAAAGTTTACAAGGAGATTTTTAATTTAATTATTGGTTATGGGCAAAGTTAGGTGGGAGAAGTAGAAGAAGCTTTTATCACACCTAAATCCCATTCCTCCTCCCAGCTGTGAATTCTTTTTCTGCCATGAGACAGGGCATCTCATTGCACACTGTCCCTATCTCCAGTGCAAAGAGCAAAAGTTGCCAACTTTTTTACCAAAAGGTTCTGTATTTTTGATGGGCAAAGAGGAGGCTTGTGTCCTGATTATAGTTTTGCATGATATTGGAGCCATCAGCCTGACTCTTCTGGATAGGGGAGAAGATGTTGAGCTAATAGCAATGTGGGCGGATGTCTCTCCACTCTGCAGTGGTTGGTTGCATCAGTGGAGGTGATGAGCCAGAGTAGTGGGCTGTGGTAGACTCCTTTGTCATGTGGTGCTGAAGACGTTTTTTTGTTTTTGAAGCCCTTCAGTCTCAGATGCCGTCTGACGGTTATGGGACTGCAGTCAGCACCAGTAACGGCCTTAATTTGGGTTGAGGATTGTCCAGTGTCTTGACAGACTGCCAATTGGATCCTCCGGCTCAGTGCTGATGAATTTTTCTGGGGTCTTCCACTTGACGTTTTTGTTCCATAACCCTCAGGAACATTTAAGAAATTCCAAATGACTGTCACACTGCGTCCCACCTCAGCAGCGATGGCGTGCTGCAAGCTTATGCAGTTCAACAACCCGACCACGTTCAAAAAGGGAACGTTTTTGTGCCTTTGCCATCAAAACGTCATGACAGTGTGACAGAAATTGACAATGTGGTTCTAAATTTTTGATCAGCTGTAAAACAGCCTGTTTCAGTTTAAGCATTATTTTCAATAAATTACATGCTCAAAAGACTGTTTTGTCTCACTCCCAAAATAGGATTTTTTGCCATTGATCGGGACTGTAGGATGTACTGATTTTTCTGACATGCTCTTACATATGTTCAAGACTCCGGCATAGTCAAGATACATCCCTGTTTGAATATATCCATCATATCTACATCCCAAGACCCTCAAAACGACTACCAGATGTGTGTTAGCACAAGTACAAACATCTGCTATTTCAATGTGACAGGCTGCAATTGTGCTATGTCCAAAGCATGTTCCTTGATTTGCAAAATACCATCAGAAATAAAGGGATTTTAATGCCCCCAAACTGGCTGGGACACTTGATTTTGTTGAACTAACAAACATTTTAGGAAGGTTTATGACTTTTGCATTGGAGATTTAAGAGAGTCCAAGAATTTTATTTGATTGTCTCTAATATAGTTAGGTATTCTGAGTTTTACCATAAATTGGTGACTCAACCATTTGGTAGAGACCTCTATCTAAAAAAAAAAGACGGGGTTGTTTGAACAAAAGAATAAAGATTATATTTACTGTGGCCCCAAATGAGGAAAAAATACAGTGAAAAAATGTTTTCATGTTTGTTTGTTTTTTTAGTAGATACACATATGGTATGAATTTGAAAATCCTGTCACTTTGTTCTCGAACTATCACGTTCACGAGATTGTCAGAAAACTTGACCTCTGACCTTAAGGCTGAGCTGAAGGTTTTTATAAGCTTAAAATTCATATGAGTTCAATTCAATTTTATCTACCGGTATTTAGCGCCAAATCACAGTGGATTAATTTGCTGATTAATTTCCCAGGTAACAGACTGATTGAAAATAATGAGAAATTCTAATGTCTAAATCTAAAAGAGCAGAAGTGTGAGAGTACAACAACAGCATGAACAAAAAGGTCTGAGGAACCACTGGAGCATAAATAAAAAGCAAGTGAACTTGGTTATCTTTCACCTCACAATGTGAACATAGAAATTTATCTTGGTCCACTTTTAGATCCATTTTGAAGAGGACTGTATGTAAAAACAAGATTTCAGGCTGCAAACAAGGTTTACAGTGTGCAATTTAAATGACAAACCCATGGACCCTGTTAGAGTTTGTATTGTTGATTGTCATTTATGCTTAGAAATATTTACTTATATATGCTTAGAGTTTTGTAATTAGTTGTAGATTGGTAGAGGTTTTGATCCTTGATAGTCTGCAAACTTTGTGTGTATTAGACAGCACTTTGGGAGCATGAGAGGTCATACCGTGTCTTATTGTTTTATGGTAGGATTAACGTAGTTGCGTCTGTTCTAGTCTAAGTGCTCTTTGTTTAGATGAACTGCAGGACTTCCTCACCGTGTTATCTAGGATGAACCATCTAGGGTGAGGGGGAGGCTACCCTCTTCCTGACCAAGGATGTTTGACCCTTTGATCAGCAGTACACACACACACACACACACACACACACACACACACACACACACACACACACACACACACACACACCACAGGCAAGGTACTCTTTGTGTGTATGTAGACGTCATATGTTAATGAACCTATGCATATTCATGTAACCTCAATAAAAGAACAGTGTACGGGAGACGGACGAGAGCAACTGGGGTCAAGCGAAGGAACGGTGCCTGTCCGGTTCTCTCCCGTGCACGAGAAACATGAAGAAGCTTGCCTACTTGTGTCTTGCTTTGCAGTGTAATTATATTGTCTTCAACGTTCCAGCGGATAGATTCAAGCTACAAACCTATCAACCCTATTTCAGAAAGCAGATTTTGTGAAAATTTGTGTTATTATTGCCAACAATGTTCTAACAGTGATCAATCACTGTGACAAAAAAAGACACACAAACACTGAAAATACATTTACAGGCACAATGGAGGCATACAGATGAACATACACATGAGACTGTGGTTCAGGGAATCATCTTGCACCCACAGACATCAATAATGGTGGACAGACATTTTAATTATTAATGCTCTGAATTAAGTATCTTTCTATTGCTCTACACTATGTGTGTGTGTGTGTGCGCGCGCACAGGCAAGGACATGGAACTCTACAATGCACCATGCATAGTATAATACACGTTTCTATCTATCTATACACACACCACACACACACACACACACACACACACACACACACACAACACACACACACACACACACACACACACACACCACATACCCCTGGGCCACCCACCCACCAATCTGAGACAACCTTCATAACCCTCATCACTCACACCACTCACATATAAGGCATACAAGGCAACAACTGTCTAACTGTGCATATTAAGTACATAACAGTAACAGATGGATAAACATGTCGCAAATTACAAACTAAGGAGAGGTAATGCCATATAAATGATGTTTAAAGCACTTGCTAATACCTTGTTAAAGCTTAATAGCGGGACATTATTATGTGCTACTGTGTGGCTTGACTGTGTGGCTACAATTACAGGAGGAGATGTGTTATCACAGAGCGTGATACGACTGTCTCTGAAACACAATAAACAATACACAGGGCTATAATAGCTCTCTTGATACAATAACAGTTAATTAGGCTGGTGAAGTGGGAGCTGTATTGATTGGCTCAGTTAATTGGTCATTTAACTCTGCAATCCCACAGGCCCATTCAACACAGCTAGTGTTACAGGTAGTGTGTGTGGGAGTGTGTCTGTGTTTGTAAGAGTAAGCCTATACAACAAATAGTCTCATGCCTTTAAGCTACTAAAGTTCTGCCTCACTGCTCTTATTTTTGCACAGAGTTGTTGTTGATGTCGAAGTTATAATTATGAATACATGGACTGGACTGGCGAATACTATTTACTCTAACTTTGCATTAAGCACTTTTTACTGCAAGCTTTATTCATCCAAGCAACCTAAATCCAGCCTAAACTAAACCTGTTTTAACCCATTTAAAGCCTTATGGACAATGGTAATGATTTAAAGCTGTATGCATAATTTATGCACTGAATATTTAGATCTCAAATCACAGCATGCATTACTTCCACCGTCCTTCCAAGTTTTCAGTAAGAGACAAGATTTTTGTTTGCCATGAAAAAAATCAACTTTAAAGCCTAAAGATCCTTTCAGTTCACAAACCAGCTTCTGACAAAGGTACAGTGCTCTGAAAAAGTATTTGGGCCTCTTTATTTTTTACATAACCTGAGTAAATACTGAATGCTTTTTAAAATAATTTTTCACAGTGCTGTAAACACGGAGCAGATAAACTGTTAACAAAGGCCATGTTTTAGTTACTTTGGGTTAATACTTCTTGGATTTTTGGATTTTGCCATTGATCAGTAAGATGGTAGAAGACAGGTCTCACTCTTGGAAAAATAAATGGATTTCTGTTAACTTGCTGAAATTTTTTTAATTATTTACACATAAATAATAAATAACTGGTATGTTCGCTGGCATTGGAAACTGTTTTTTTTTTAGGCTAAATTTTATTTTATTTCATTTCAGTCCTCTGAAGTCATCGTTTCTTAAATAATGGAATATTTTTTTAAAATATAGCTCAGCATGCAGAGCCAACAAACTTAGTTGTCGCATGCATAAACAAAATAAAACATTGCAGTAATAAAGCTAAATTTAAACATTATCACAATAAATTAGCTGATCATTTGTCTTTTAAATCAGTTATTATATAATGTGTAAAAATCAGAGGACTGTCCCACAACAGCTTCACTCACTGACACGTAAACATTATACGCTGTACTGCTATTCATATTATATTATATTATATTATATTATATTATATTATATTATATTATATTATATTATATTATATTATATTATATTATTTATAATGAAAATACATCTAAAATGTGTGACTGCAGGGAAAACGTGTGAGGTGGAAAAAGCGAGTCAGAAGAACAAAAGAGAGTAAGGAAAGAGATATAGGAGGCTGCTCCTCAGAGGACCATCATCTACTATATCAGGTTTTTAACATATCAAAATATGAAACTGGAGCATGGGGAGTGAAATCTGTTCTATGATTTCTGAGTAGTAAATTATTTATCAGTCTGAAAGCCCCTCTAACTACGGTAAGACCTATTGCCAAGGGGGGTTGTGAGTCATGTATATGTAATACTGCCTAATACCAGTGACAGAGACACTGACTGAGAATTACTCTACAGGTTTATATCTGCACTATGTTCCTCTGAAACTCATGGTGATGAGAAGACTCCAGGATGTTATTGCATACAGGCAAGAAACAGGAGGACATGTCACACCTTGGGTGATTTCCATTTCCTACACTGACAGTATACTTCCTATACACTTTATACTAGACCAATACAGTTAGTATAAAGGTGGAATTCGGTGAAATAATTAAGCGTCATCAGCTTAAAATGCAAATTATTCTGTAACACTTGATGTAACCAAACACTGACCATGAGCCTCACAGCCAGTGTTCAAATGTCCAACACAACTATAAATTCACTACAGTACGATAATCTAACATGTTTATCATGCACAAGACTACAAAGTATTTTCATGCAAGATTTGAATAACACAAACTTGATATGCTTTCTTTCACGTTTCATGATATGAAAAAACATAATTTGGCAAAACTCATTATATACAGATGCAATGTGTGTGTGCAATACTTCATACCATCCCTCAAAGTTAACTGGTAGATGTGCTGGTACTTATATAATGCTTTTCTACTTAATTTGAGCATTCACAGGGCTGTCTTACTGGAAGCCTCATTCACCCATTTCCAACGCATTTTCTTTCTATGGCTAAGTGCTTTCAACATAACATGCACACACTCACACTTTGATAGATGCATCTGGTGCAACTTTGAGAACAGTATCATGCCCCAGGATACTTCAGCATGCTGTTTGAATGGTTAGAATTCAATTTATTTCAATTTTATTTATATAGTGCAAAAACACAACAACAGACGCCCCAAGGGATGTAATCTTATTAGACAGAATATATTCCAATATTAGACAGAAACCCCAACAATCAGATGACCTCCTATGATCAAGCAGAGTTTTATTTATTTCTGGTTAAATAAACATTAAATAAAAAAATAAAAAAATAAAAAAATAACGTGGCAGCTGTCGCACAAACCATATACTTCTGGGCATCCTCGTCTCTCTCTCTTATTTTCTTCTTTCATGAGCTTCTCAGAGTAGTCTTTCTATCTTCTTAGCACATTTCTATTTCTACCCTTAATCACCCTAACCTGCTGCACATCCTTTCAAAATCACTAAAACTCACTATAGCCCTTTGCCACATCTCTCTTTGTTGTACATCTTAACTTCAATTACTAGTGTATACTTCCTGGGTATCCCACTTTTTCTTTTCTAACCTCTTCCTTTGAATACTTTCCTGTACTTCCTCATTCCATCACCACGTCTCCTTATCCTCTTTCCTCTGTCCAGAGGACACACCAAATACCTTCTTGGCACTTTCTCTCATCACTTCAGCAGTCCTTTCCCAGTCATCTGGTAACTCTTCCCCACCCTAGAGCCTGTCTTAATCCCTTCCTCTTTCCTAAATGACACAAAGTTTTCAAAAACATTATTTGGCTATTGCAAGGTTCTAACCTGTTGCAATAATATATTATCATTTCAGTGATAAAGTTTTATTTTCATTCTTAAATGCACTTGTTCACTATATTCTACTGGTTGTAAACTACTTTTGGTTGCTCCCTTATTCACACAAGGGTTTACTACAACAGTAGCTCTGCATAGATTTAAGAGATTTTTACACTGGACACTATTCCTTATGCAAACCCTCCTACTGAACTTATTATAGACTCAAACAGCACTGCCCTCATCATAAATGGAGAATGGGTGGAATCTGTCTCCAGCTTTAGGTTTCTGGGCACCCACTTTCTGCCAGTCTCAACATTGGTGTTGTGGGTCACCAATGCCCTGGTAAACATGAAGTGCAGCAGAGGCTGAACAGGAAGGCTGTTAATTAACACTGCCCAAAAATTCATTGGCTCTACCAGGGGTGGCCTCCATTGCCAGCTGCTCCTGTCTCAGGAAAACTAGGGCCAACAAAAGTTACCCCTTGCACCCTGCACACCGGACCCACCCAACCCTGCATACACACACACACACACACACACACACACACAC